ATAAACCTATATTTTCTTTCCAAAAAAAAAAAAAAAAGCTTAAAATAGAAATACCATTTGACCCAGGAATTCCACTTCTAGGAATTTACCCTAAGAATAGAGCAGTCCAGTTTGAAAAAGACAGATGCACCCCTATGTTTATCGCAGCACTATTTACAATAGCCAACACATGGAAGCAATCTAAATGTCCATCAGCAGATGAATGGATAAAGAAGATGTGGTACATATACACAATGGAATATTATTCAGCCATAAGAAGAAAACAAATCCTACCATTTGCAACAACATGGATGGAGCTACAGGGTATTATGCTCAGTGAAATAAGCCAGTCAGAGAAAGACAAGGATCAAAGGATTTCACTCATCTGTGGAGTATAAGAACAAAGAAAAAATCTGAAGGAGCAAAACAGCAGCAGACTCACAGAACCCCAGAATGGACTAATAGTTGCCAAAGGGAAAGGGACTGGGGAGGATGGGTGGGAAGAGAGGGACAAGGGGTAAAAGGGCCATTATGATTAGCACACATAATGTAGGGGGCATGAGGAAGGCAGTATAGCACAGAGAAGATAAGTAGTGATTATATAGCATCTTACTATGCTGATGGACAGTGACTGTAATACAGTATGTGGTGGGGACCTGATATTGGGAGGAATCTAGTAACCACAATGTTACTTATGTAATTGTATATTAATGATACCAGAAAAAAAACCCACCAACAACCAAACTCTTTGGTCAATACCTAGTGCTGTAGAAACAGACAGAGTACTTAAGAGTCAAGAGGGAAAAAGGAATCAGGCAACTTGGCAGCTCTGGAGAGATTATGGAGAATGCTCCTGATAGCCATGCAAGTACCTGACAGCTCTGTTCTTCTTTTTTATTTTAGATAAAATTAACATAACCTAAAATGATCATTTTAACCATTATAAAGTGTACATACAACTCAGTGGTTTTTAGTATATTCACAATGTTGTACACTTGTCTCCATTGTCTAATATGATCCAGGATATTTCCACCCAAAAGAAACCCTATACCATTTAACCCTATTCACTCTCCCTGTAGCTCCTGGCAACTACTAGTCCATTTTATAGCTCTATAGATTTCCATATTTTGGGTATTTCATTCAATATAGTCAAATAACACAGAGCCTTTTGAGTTTGACTTCTTTTACTTAACATAAGATTTTTAAGATTTATCCATGTTGTACCATATATCAGTCCTTCACTCCTTTCTATGGCTAAATCATATTGTTGTCTATTCTGGAATTTCTGAATCCCACTAGCACAGCAGAAAGCAAGAGCTAAACTATACCCAGTTCTTGTTGGTGTGGGCTGCTCCCTGAGAAGAGATGAAATGCAGCTAACAGTATCTTCATAACACTGCTCCCAGTGTCAATTTGGATGACCTTGGATCAAGCTCTTTTGGTTGTCAATTCATAGCAAATTCTGTAAATTACTTGGGAATACCCAAATCTCACTTTTAGACATTAGGAGTCAACTTAAGCCAACAACTTTTTGTTGTACAAAAAGCCTGTATGAACAAAGCCAGAGAAATACTGGCCTAGGCTCAGAAAGGAGACATGCAGGAAGAAGCAGGAAAAGCAGCAAATAGTTCTGAATGAGGCTGTTCCTGCTTGAGATCCTGTTAAATAAAATTACTAGGGGACTTTGGAGTTGTATGAAGCTGAAAAAGAAATGCTGCTTATCCCTAGGATTCATCGAGTCACAATTAAAATCCTTGCATGGCTGAGTGGGTTTATCCTGTTCACCAGTTCTCACGGGAAAAGCCAACCCGCCTGGCCCCAAGTACACATTAAGCAAACTAAGAGTGCAGCCTGCATCCGTGAGATAAGTGCTATGTGCTTCCAAAGGCCAACAGTCAGTTGTCTAATTTGGTTTCTTACAAAGCCAACAGGAAGATGACAAAGGCAGCAAAGGACGGACCAGCATCACGATCAAGCATGACACCTGGTGGCCGACCAAGGAAAGAGATTAATGACTTCATTCCAAATACTCAAAGATTTCAAGTCGTATAAAGCAAAATATCGAGGTTCCATTTTTCGACTCTCAAATTAGCAAATGATGTCTTTAAAAGATCATGTGTTAGGGAGGGTTCTGGAGAAGTAGAATAAAGGGATAAACTGGTACTACCTTCCTACAGGGCAATTGGGTATTGCTATCAGAAACCTAAAACCTAGAATCTCACATTCCCTTTAAGTCAGTAATTCCCTGCTAAAAGTTTATCTTAGTGAAGGTGTGTGCCAAGATTTAGCTACCAACATGTATCACGGAACTGCTTTTAATAACAAGTAAACATTCAGAAATAGAGTGACAGATCATAAATTAGGACACATCCATATACTTAAATGTCTTTTGCTGTTTTAACAGGGAAAGAGGTACATCATTTGATTGTTCACAAGAGAAAGACACAATTTACATAAATATTTTGGTTTACGAGGAAAAAAGAGTCCACACAAAAAATATTCCAAGCTGTGAACAAGGCAATCTCTGAAGGAGCTCAATTACGGAGGAACCTTCATTTTCTACCTAGTCCCAATTTATTTTTCAGTGTAGGTGAACAAATTCGGAGCCAGCCAGAAAGCACAGAAGTTGAGTACTACAATGACATTTTGGATACCAAACACAAGGCAAGAGCTTTCTGCATCCCGCATCCAGAGTATGGGAAGGCCTGGGCACCCAACCCACGGCCGGTCCCCCTACCATCACTCACAGGGCTATCTGAGTCTTCTCATTCTTTCCCAGTTCCCTTCCCCACACCCACACCCCCGTCACTCAGCAGACAAATCCACATGCCACACGTCACAGGAAGAGAGAAGAAGCCACCATGCGGGAGCACCCTCATTCTTAGGCATCTCCGCAGCTCTCTTCCAAACACGTCTGTATTTGCACACACACCACTAGGAAAGTCATGGGGAGATGATCTTACCCTGTTTTTGCTACTACACCATGCCATTGATCCCAAGGTCGAGGAAAAAAAGGACTGGAAAATTCATTAGAATGCAACCAGGCACTCAATCCTGTCATCATTTCAAGTGATTCAGAAAAGTGGTGGGAAAGCAGCCAGACTGCAGGGGATTGTTGGGTAAAGAGGAGAGTCTACCTCAAATTCTTTATGAGAAGATAGGAGGATTACAAATAAATATATGTATTTCAAGTGGGTACAGCAAGCATAGGTGGCTTTAATTACAGTATAAAGTATGGTAAACTTTATATATTCAAAAACTACATGTGAATAAGCCCATGAAACCATCACCATATTTAAAACAGTGAACAGAGGCATCACCCCCCAGAAGTTTCCTGTTGCCCCTTTGCTTCTCCCACCACCACTCCTTACCACAGGGGGTGCACTTGTCCAATCTAACTGGTGTCCTAACAGAGGAAATGTGGACACAGCGACACCAGGAGCACACACGCAAAGGCCACAGGGAGACAGAGAGGAATGTGGCCATCTGCATGCCAAGAGGAAAGGCCTCAAAAGAAACCAGACCTTCCCACACCCTGATCTTGGGATTTCAAACCTCCAGAACTGTGAGAAAATTAATTTGCTATTTAAGCCACCCAGTGTGTGGTAGTTTGTTAAAGCATCCACAGCGAACTAAGCCACTGTAGCATGCTTAAACTGGGCTAAATATATACTGTAAAGCAAATCTGTGACTTCACAGTCACTGGATTCGTCCTTATTTTCCCTTTTACCTTCACTGAACTGATGGGATTCAGACCGCCTTACTCCCTCCCCAGAACTTGGCAATAGCCCCAATCTCCAGTCTCACCATCTTATTCTACCCCAAATCCCGAATCCTGCCTCTACACACAACTCCCCGTTTAGATTAATATCAAGTCCAAATCTTCAACATGACCTACAGGGCCCTTCAGGATCTGGGTCCTGCCTGACGGTCCTCCAGCCCCATTTCTTGCTATGCCCTAAAACAAACATGCCTGCCAGGCACTAGATGCATTGTGCTCCCAATTCCTTTCCAATGTCTCATCACAAGGCTGCTTTCTTGGTTTGGAGCAAACAACCCTAGACCATTCCCAGACCCAGGAAACTCCTACTCATCTTTCTAGAAACTAGACCAGTAATTCTCCCCTTCAAAGGACAACTGGCAATGTCTAGAGACAACCTAGGTTGTTACAACTGGTCAGGGGCCGGTGGGGTGGGGTGGAGGAGGGAATGCTACTAACATCTAGTGGGGAGAGACCAGGGCTGCTACTAAATGCAATGTCATACTAAATGCCTTCAGTGCATGGGATGGCCCCCACAACGGAGATGTCCAGTCCAAAATGTCAACGGGGAAGATGCTGAGATCTGAGACTTAAGCCCTGATCAAGATTCAAACTTGAGCATCCCATTTTCCCTGCAAGCCTTCCCTGGGGCTGCCCCCTACAATGAGTCCCATACTTTATTGTCACCATTATCTTAACACTCCCCAAACACCTCTACTGCAGCATTTCTCCCACTGTGGTAAGTTCTGATTTACTTGTCTATCTGCTCCATTCAACAGTAATTGCTTTAAAAGTAGAGACCACTTTTCATCTCTGTATCTCCAGTGTGTAACAAAAGAGCTCATTTACTGCTCTGCAATTAAATTTTAAATAACTTATACTTAATAATAAATGAACAAAAGAGAGAGAGGAGAGAAAGAAGCACTTACTCTCTTGGCTCTACCACAAAAATCCTTTTAAATTACACAAATAATACCTGTTGGCTGTAAAAACATTAGAAAATTCAGATAAGCAAGAAGAAAAAAAAAACAAATAGAAAAACCATTCTTTGAATAGGCAGAAGCACCATCTAAAGAGAGAAGAGGTAAACCCCGTGAAGCAAATCTGAGAACTGAGCAAGGTGGTGTCAGTTTTTCTGCAGTACGAATCCTGGTGTGTGCTCTCTACTTACTTGAGAACAGCAATCTCTTGAACGGTTATGGCCCTTTTATCTTTGGTTCCCATGTAGGAGAATATGTTTGGCTTGACTCTGGTAAGACAAAAACAAAACCATCTGAAGTCACATGCTTTTAGGAAATCATATTCCTCATAATGTTAGATTCAAGATAAATATACTTAAAACCACAACAGAATAGGAGAAACAGAAGGAGAAACTTTATCTTAAAATGTACCAAGGAAAACATAAGGTAATATGCAAGCTAAGAATATAAACGATGCCTGAACAACTCCCTTCTTAGCAGTGCTTGACTTAGAACGTTTGTGGCTACTAGTGAATAACATGCTGTCCAAAGACTCGGAGAGCCAGTAACAGAAAGGAAATAATGTGCTTCCTTGATCATATGCAACTGATTAGATTACATAACTATGAAGGTAAGGAAAAATTCATTCCAGATACATAATGTAACATTTTGAAAATTTTATTTTTAAAAAGCTAATAATAATGTGAATTTTGCACAAAAGCATGCTATTTCTTAGTACAAAAAGTCAAATGCTAAAACAGGGATCTGAACAGTTTTTTTTTGTTTTGTTTTGTTTTTACTGCTGAAAACCTTTTAATGGTTTACCATTCTACTTACAATAAAATTTAATGGTTTACCGTTCTACTTACAATAAAATTTAAACCTACAAGCCTCTGTATTGTCCATTCCTTCATTACCATTTTTTTTATTCCACTTGTACTTTTATTAAATTCTTTTGTTTTTTTTGTTTTCTTTTGAGAGGGCATCTCTCATATTTATTGATCAAATGGTTGTTAACAACAATAAAATTCAGTATAGGGGGGTCAATGATCAATGTACAATCATTAATCCATCTCAAGTCTAATTCTCGTCAGTCTCCAATCTTCTGAAGCATAACGAACAAGTTCTTACATGGTGAACGAATTCTTACATAGTGAATAAATTCTTACATGGTGAACAGTACAAGGGCATTCATCACAGAAACTTTCGGTTTTGATCACGCATTATGACCTATAAACAATCAGGTCAAATATGAATATTCGTTTGATTTTTGTACTTGATTTATATGTTGATCCCACATTTCTCCCTTTATTATTATTATTATTTTTATTTTTAATAAAATGCTGAAGTGGTAGGTAGATGCAAGATAAAGGTAGAAAACATAGTTTAGTGCTGTAAGAGGGCAAATGTAGATGATCAGATGATCAGGTGTGTGCCTATGGACTAAGTATTAATCCAGGCTAGACAAGGGCAGCAAAACATCCATGGATGCAGAAGATTTCTCTCAAAGCAGGGGGGGTGAGGTTCTGAGCCTCACCTCTGTTGATCCCCAAATTCTCACCTGATGGCCCCCCTGCGACTGTGCCTGTCTTAGGTTGTTCCTCTGAACAGTTTTGACATGAAAATATATGTAAGCTAGTTAACTTAAGAAGGATTTTATAAAAATTGCCGTAACAAACAAAACAGAAATAGACTCATAAACACAGAACAGACTGGAGGTTGCCAGAGGAGCGGATGGCTGAATTATGTTCCCCCAAAATTCCTATGTTGAAGCCCTGACACCCAGCACCTCAGAATGTGTCTGTATTTGGAGACAGGGCCTTTAAAAAGGTGACTAAGTTCAAGGCGGTTGGGGTGGGTCCTTGTCCAATCTAACTGGTGTCCTAACAGAGGAAATGTGGACACACAGCGACACCAGGAGCACACACGCAAAGGCCACGGGACACAGAGGAATGTGGCCATCTGCATGCCAAGAGGAAAGGCCTCAAAAGAAACCAGACCTTCCCACACCCTGATCTTGGGACTTCAAACCTCCAGAACTGTGAGATAATTAATTTGCTATTTAAGCCACCCAGTGTGTGGTAGTTTGTTAAAGCATCCACAGCGAACTAAGCCACTGTAGCATGCTTAAACTGGGCTAAATATATACTGGAAAGCAAATTTCCATTGCATTCAGACTTGCTGTGGTACCTGTACCCATTTCTAAATAAAAATTATTTGGCTGGCCCATCCTCAGATCCAATCTCCGCTACATTTGCACTGCTATGAGAAAATCTGACTGATCTCAAGTTTTTAGTCAATCTCCAGGCATTAAAAGCTTTCAGTTTAAGCAAACCTCTGCAACCACATCAAAGTGTATGCTTTCAGGGAAGAAAGCTAATTTTTATTTTCATCTGGATGGAGCAGTAATTCTCAACTATATGTGAACTATTTACTTAAAGAATTTTCATCTTGAATCATTGGCAATATGCAAGGATGCTAAAAAAATTAGAAAACTACAATTGGGAGCCACACTTGCTCTCTGTTGGCCTACTTTCCTGCTCCTTTTTCATTGGCATGAAAGAGGAAAATAAGCGTCATTGTTTTGATTTTGTACAGGCAAAAGAACACGATACTAACCTTAAATATTTGGACAGCACATTAATAGCATCCATGGTATCTTTGTTTTCCTTGTACAGTACAAAGTGGCAGTAACTTCCCCTAGATTTTGGCCAAGAATGTTTTCTTGGATCTTAAAAACAAAAAAACTGAACGTCATATATACCATAATAAACGCTATCTAAGTTTTTTTCTTAAGAAATCCTCTAAGATCATTTTTTTGCTACAGAACCTTTTGACTGAGAAATCAGATCTAGTCTGACAAGAAATACAGGTTGAGTGGTTATAGCTGTGTAGACTATGGGTATTAAACTTTCTTGACTGGATACTTAATATCATCTGTCCATAAAAGCTGAAATGCAGGTGGTGTGACAAATGACTAAGACTAACCTGCAGTCTTCCCACAGAGAAGCAACCTTCCCCGGTAGCATTACTTTGTAAGCCTGTGTCTGGTAGAGGGGCCAAGTGGCTTTCCAGAACACCTGTCGTCCTGAGGGAAACAGTCACGTCAGACTCTACATGCCTTGCTCCACTCAGGTGCTCACGCAGACAGCCTCGATGCCTTAGCTGGGATGGGAACAAAGCTTGTGAGGAGCTGCCTCAGGGTCACATTTAGATTTTCCAAAGGGTATTTTCATCCCAATACTAGACGGTTTACAAGTGTCTATCTGACAGAAAGAGTAAATGGCATTCAAGACTAATTGTCATATTGGGGTAAAAGGAAACTAAAAATTAAGCCAGGTTAAATGTTAGCTTCTGATCCTTTGACTGTTCAGCTTTTTGAAAACTGACAGACATTCAAAGATTTTAGAGAACCTGGTTTTAAAAACTGTTCTTTTAAATGAAAATTTTTATTACATTATAATCTAAAAACATATATTTAAACAGTCTTAAGATTTCAATTTATGTTGCCTCAAGAGTGTTTTGAAAAAAAAACACTTTTAGGAAAAATATGGGAGCCACAACCTGACTTCTCAAATGTTATACAATACTGTTCATGAGCCTTGTGACACACAGCTACAGTTGTTACTTGAATACATCTAATCTCCTGGTTTCTGTAATTCCATGAAAGAAAAGACTGTTTAAAAATATTTCACATAATACCTAGGAAAGAGTCTTCTTTTAAAAATGCTTGTCTTTATCCTTAAAAAAATTCTTTGGCATGAATTCATGAATCCTTCATCTTTAGAGACCTAAGAAACTTCTGGTATTGAAGTTACCAGTACACCTGGCTTTGTCAAAGGAAAAACCCTGCCTGAGAGGTTAGTGACTTACACTACAATGTAAAAAACAAAGAAATCAATAAACCACCTTGGAAAACTGCCATAGCATGTATGCTTAGTGAACTGATTTTCCTTTCTGCTTAGTAGGAATGTGAATCTTTTCTGTCTTGGACAGAAAAGCTTTACAAGTATTTCTCTGGCTCTTGGTGTAAATTATTTCCAACTCATCCTCAGAAAACTGTAAACAGGAGTATTACTTTTGGTTTTCCTTCCAGCTCACTTGAGTTAAAGCAAAACTGTCTATACTTAGCACTTGTGACAAAAATCATTGGCATTTCATTTTATCTACATGAAACGCCAACAGCTCTTACCTGCGGCAGTTCTGACCTCTGTCCAAATGCACAGCATAAAGAGCACAAGAGAGCAATGTTTAATTTATAAAAACGATTAAGAGTGCTTTAGAGGTGAACATGCAAATGACCGCATGGAAAGTTTCTACCGAGGACTTGTACAGCACCTGGTAGTTATGTGGTAGGCTAACAGCCATTTAGACATTAACAGTGGAATGTCATGAACAGCAAACAAGTAGAAAAACTCACCTACAGGTACAAGCCTCCCTGTCCCAACCCCCTCACAACAGCATGCCAGCTCATCCTCAAAGCTGCACTGTCTGGACCCATGGGATGGAGCAAAAGGTTTAAGACTGAATGTAAATGCTTCCTGACTTAGAGATGTGTTTTCTTAAACATGGCAGGACCTGTGCCAAAATGCTATCTGTGATTATCGTTTAGTGGTGAGACTGCAAGTAATTATTGGTTTGCTTTGTGCTTTATTGTGTTTTCTGAGTTTCCCACACTGAGTTATAATGACTTTTTATTTGAAAAAGTATTACAGAAAACAGTTCTCGAGCTGATAGAGTAAAAGAGATTTAAGAGACTATTGAAGAGACTTAACCATTGAATGCAATGTACTGACCTTATTTATATCATTATTTGACACGTCATCTGTATGTAAAAGATATTTGTGCGACAGGGAAAAATTGAACATGCACTGGGTATTAAATACCGAGAAATTATTGCCGATTGTGCTGGATGTGAAAATGGTTTAGGGTTTTAGTCCTTACCTGTTAGATACATACTGAAGTATTAATGAGTGAAATGAAGTGCTACAGAGAATTTTAAAACACTACAACAAGAAAAAAAAAAGTGGGAGGAAGAGATCAAACAAAAACAGAATGTTAATATTTTTGACCATGGTTGACAGGTACACAGAGGTCCAATATACTACTTCCCTTACTTGTGTGTATGTTTGAAAATGTCCATGATAAAAAGTAAAAAGAGAAAAAAAAACTTGTGATAAAAGTTGATCAGTGTAGCTACATTTCCCCTTAACTACCCGGTTCAGTACACTCACAATTAACTATAAATTAGTGCTACCATACCTTAAGAGAAAACATGACAACTGAGTGTGAGTTTCTGCTCAGAAGCATGCATTTTTCATTAGCAAATCCAAGCACTGAGCATGCACACAATTGTCTCCTCTGCAAATACCAGATACAAGGTTTCTTTTGCTAAGTGCACTCAGTATACAAATAGTAAGCATATGCACTGCTGAACTGGGAAAACTCTGAATAATGGAAAATAAGTAAGTCTCAATTTATTTTGGACAATTTGTTTGACTTTATAAAACTCCAAATCCTTAGAATGCAGAATAGCATATATGTAGCTTTACAATTTAGGTGAATTTAAAATGATTTTCAGACATGTCTGAGATAGTGGGATTTAAACTGCAAATGAAAAGAATTCTCAGGCTGAGGAAACAGGAAGCAAACTTCTGATGCTCTGGGCCAGCAACCCCAGCCTAGTGGGACAGAAACGGCACCTCGCTTGGGAAGACCCATGTGCTGAGCACCGAGATACCCATGAGTAAGGAAGGACAAATGTTTGTAGCTTGAGAAAGATGGGACGCATGTATAACGTTCTCTCCTTCTTATTCGCCGCACACCAGCCTCCGAGCTTCCTCGGGGGCCCTGCTCCATCCACCATCCCGTGCTTCCTGGGAGTTCCACTGCCCCTCTCCACTGGCTCTTCCCTTCATAATATCGAAATGCTCAGGGCTCTTCCATTTTAAAAGTCAAACCTATGGCTCTCTCTCCTTAACTATGTTTCTTTCCTTTCCCCTCTTACAGATTATCTGAAAAGGCAGTCTGAGTTTATTGCCCTCCACCTCAACCTACTGTGTTTCCAACCTTATTCCATAAAACTGCTCTGTCAAAGACACCAAACACCAATGATTTTGATGTTGCTAAAATGGACATATTTCAAAGTTTTTACCTTGCTGTACCTATGCATATTATTTTCCACTGCTACCGCTCTGGTTCTTGGAATTCCCTCTTCCTGGTGATTCCATAACACCAGTCTCTCCCAGAGTTCCCTTTTTATCTTACTGATTCCCAGATCCAGGTATCCCTCCTGGAATTCACTTCAGAAAGTATGAACATATTACAGAATTTTTTATTTTAAACAAGTCTTTAAGAAGAAGTTCTTAGGGGCATTTGGAATGTATACTTTTTCAAAACATAAATCCATTTACCTGATGAAATGTGTTATAATAATAATATGGTATTTTCAGGAAAATATCTTATATATGCTCTGATAAATCACTGTGCCCTATCAGACTAGATTAACACATGACATATTTTCTCAGTTTAAATACCTGTTAACACCAGAACTTAGAATCTACTATGCCTATGTTTGAGAATGCATGGTTCTATTTGAGAAAAACAAGTTCAGAAATCTGCTGATAATGTAGACCCACTAACAACAATTTATGTCAGGGATTGGTAGTAAAGGAGCTCTAAATACATTATAAACTTAGCTTTATAATGAAGCTTTAAAAGTCAAATTATTCAAATGCTATCCAGTAGCCAAGGTGGCCCAGGAGAAGAAGCTGTTATTGGTACTGGGATCTGTCTGCAGGGTCACAAACAATAACAGTCTCTGCATACCAACTCTTCCCCGCTTTTCCAATGGTGTGTACTCTGAACCACTTTCAGGTGGCAGGTAGGGCACTAGATCTGTAAAAGATGAGCACAGGCTCTGAGGAGCCTGTCTGGGTCCACAAGGAGATGGGAGAGAACAGCTCCAATGGCAGCCCTCTGGTCCATCTCTGACTAAATGCCAGCACACCTCAAGAGTTTTAGATTTCTACCCAAGTGTTCATCCAATTTGAACACAAAAGTCTGGAGAAGATGGGAGAGCCAGAACCTGAGAGCTCTGGCCCCGCTCACTCCAGAGAAAAGGGTGGGGAAGCTGTAAGGGCTTGCAGATGCCCCGACTCCCCTCCCTGCAGAGAACAAAACCTGGCACCCTCCAAGAAATAACAATCTTTTCCACAAAGAAACTGTCAAAAACAATACAGGTTTGCCTTTTCCAATCTGCTTCCTCATGACCACACTCTGCACAACAAGACCCTGCCTTTGCAAGAGTTGGATAACCAACACGGGTGCCTCTCTACAAGGAACATCTCCCTGTGACCCTTCCCAACTGGGGTTCCTGGACAGAAGCAAGCCTGAGTGCACCAAGGCATCGTTGGTATGTAGTAAGTCACCTTCTCTCCTCTACATCTAGAATAGTTACTAGCTACAAGGCAATCTGTGACAGACCCTCCAATTTTTCTTCTACTGCACTTAATGTTCTTAAATAGCTCTGGCTGAAGAAAGACTATTAAGGTAATATTTTATACTGGGATTCAGATATCAAGAGAAACTCAGTAACCAAGCAAATCGTTTGTGGATTGAGAAGTGATTAACAAAGAATGTCCTCAAGTAGTTCCAGAACATATTATCTTACTTTTGTTTTTGCTGTCCACTGAGAAGTGACCTCCAGTCTCTACCTTCTCTTTCCCAAATCGTTCAAGGTTTCTCATTTCCATGCTACCATCCAGACTTGACCACTTTATTTTCTCACCATGGCTAAACCTTAATTCCACTCCCATTTTTCTTATACCCTCTCATTTCACTAGAACCGTAGTTGAAGGCTTCATCCATTCACAGCAAGAATACTGACAAAGCACTTAATGGGCTGAAGTCTTCTGTTACATAGAGTCTTGGAGTTTTCCTCTTACAAATACATATAGAAATAACTCTTCTATAACAGAGGCTGTCACTGGTAAGGAAATAACTTTTTCTGACCATAATTTTCATTACAATTTTATCTGCTGATCTGACAAAGGAATAAAACTGATCTTCTTTTTCTTAAGGTTATATGCAAATAGAAATTTTCATGGCTGTAGAAAACATATTAAGAACATAAATATCAAAAGGATTTACTGATAACACACCCATTCCAAATAAATGATATACAGTGAAAGAGAGCTTTGGTGAAGCACAGCATTTTTCTATATACGCCACGGTCTTTATGTGTGAGTGAAGATGCAGCTGGAAAGCAACAGCTCTTTCAACATCAGGACTTTATAGAAAATATGCCACTGGGTTAGCTGACAAGCATTTTTTGTTCCTCTGAAAGCTTTCTTTCCTCCATTAAGAACACAGAATGAGCAATATCCTTCCATTTTCTTCTTGAATTGCCGTCAGCCTACTCTGCTCTTCAGGGAACATATCACATTCCTAGGACTCCTCTCAAGCACCACCATAAATCTGCTCACATAAAAGACTGAATGCCCCCTACGAGACAGGACTGCTCTGGCATCTGAAATGATACTACTTACCTTCTCTGAAGGAGTGACAAGATCAGTATCCTCCTTTACACAACAGCAAGTTAGCCCTTGAACATGAACGGGCAAGGAGCTCTGTCTCTTGTGACCACCCCACAGAAGAAATGCCACTCACTCCCACACTTACTTGCCAGGGCCTTCTTTCCAGCTGCATGGTAGGCTACAATATATTTCTTCCCCTCTCTATCCTCTGTTTTTGTCTCTAATCCGGGAAACAGAGATTTAACTGCTTGATGTATGATGGTTCTTTTCTCTTTGGTGTCCTCAACAACCTATGGAAAACATAGATAATGATACTACTAAACTAACAAACACTAAATGGGGAAATAATAGTAATGCATTAGTAAAAACACTACTCATCTTATTAACTATGCAAAGTAACAGAAGTACACAGATACAATTTCAGAAATATTTTAGAGCTTCACAATGTTGCAAAGCATAAGGCTACTGAGCATGTCCACCTGCCAGGCACTGGTACCAAGCACTTCAGTAACTGCCTGATTCAATCCCGACCATCTCCCAAGCATGCCACTGGTACATCTTAAGAGATGAGGAAACTCAGGCAGAGAGAAGTTAAGGTCTGTAGCTAAAGTTACATAGCTGGAGGGTGACAGAGCCAGTCTAGAATCTAGGCTGTCTGACTCAAGAGCCACCCACCCAAGGCTCCTTCCTTCTCAGGGACTGAGCAGGACAAACAGCCCAGGGCTCACATGAAAATGTAGGCAAGCTTGGCCTTTTGGAATGTAAGGAACTTGACTCACTCAAATGGTCCAATCCATAACTGCCTCATAATGAATCCTATTCTATACTGAATTATTTTGTAATGGTGTTCTAGCACACTTGACCACAATAAGGGAAAAGCAACATCAAGAAAACATAAACATACTGATTACAGGACAGTTTTTCAATTTTTGAATGTGTCTCACACTGAGAAATACATTTCACATCTAGACTCAACAGCCAGAAATATTTATGCACATATGCCTTATTAAAAATCTAAAAAACGGGGAGGCGGAGCCAAGATGGTGGCATGAGTAGAGCAGTGGAAATCTCCTCCCAAAAACACATAGATCTATGAAAATATAACAAAGAAAACTCTTCCTAAAATAGAGACCAGAGGACACAGGACAACATCCAGACCACATCCACACATGCAAGATCCCAGCGCCTTGCGAAGGGGGTAAGATACAAGCCCCGGCCTGGCGGGACCCGAACACCACTCCCCTCGGCTCCCGGCGGGTGGAAAGAAACCAGAGCGGTTTTTNTAGGGAGGCAGGGCAGCAGGACTGGTGGGCGGGTGCCTGAGACCGGCATCTGAGGATGGAGAAAATCGCACGTTTTTCCCTTTTTTTTCTTTTTGGCGAGTGCTTTTTGGAAGCCTTAAAGGGACAGGGACCCCAATACCAGCGAAAAAGGGCAGCAAGACTGGTGAGTGGGTACCTGAGACCGGCGCCTGGGGAAAAAGAAAATCGCATGTTTTTCCCAATACTAGGGAGGCAGGGCGGCAGGACCGGTGGGCGGCGTCCTGGGGCCAGTGCCTGAGGACAAAGAAAATAGCGCGTTTCTCCCTTTTCTTCTTTTTTTTTCTTTGGCAAGTGCTTTCTGGAAACCTTGGAGGGACGGGGACCCCAATAACAGGGAGGCAGGGCAGCAAGACCGGTGGGCGGGTGCCTGGGACCGGCGCCTGAAGACAAAGAAAATCGTGTGCTTTTCCCTTTTTTCTTCTTTTTGGCGAGTGCTTTTTGGAGCCCTTAGGGGGACAGGGACTCCAGTGCCAGGGAGGCAGGGCGGGAGGGCCAGTGAGCGGGTGCGTGGGACCGGCGCCTGGGGACGAAGAGGGTGGCGCGTTTCTCTCTTTTTTTTTTGGGCAAGTGTTTTTTGGAGGCCTTGGAGGGACGGGGACCCCAGTGCTAGGGAGGCAGGGCGGCAGGACCAGTGGGCGGGTGCCTGGAACCGGTGCCTGAGGACAAACAATAACACGCGTTTTTCCCTTAATTTTTTTTTTTCTGCGGGTGCTTTTCGGAAGCCTTGAAGGGACAGGGCCACCGGTGCTAGGGAGGCAGGGCAGCAGGACAAGTGAGCGGGTGCCTGGGACCGGCGCCTGAGGACAAAGAAAATCGTGCGTTTTTTTCTTTTTCTTTTTTTTTTTCCTCTTTCGATGTTGCTGTTGTTGTTTTGGTTTGGAGAGTGCTTTTTGGAAGTCCTAAAGGGGCAAGACAGGACACTTTGACCAGAGGCAGGGAATCTGAGAATCTCTGGGCACTCTAACACCCTGGGCAACAGAGGCCCCTTACGGAGATACATAGCCTCCTGGCCGCTGCCCCTCCAACGGGGCTCCGCCATTTTGGAGGAGAAGTCCCAGCCAGGGCACGCCCACAGCAACAACGGAGATAAACTCCATAGCAAACGGGCAGGTAGCAGAAGCCATGTCTGCGCACACTTGACAAAAATAAGCCACTAGAGGTCGCTATTCTCCCAGGAGAGGGAGGCCACAAACCAACAAGAAGGGAAGCTCTTCCAACGGTCACTCGTACCAGCTCTGCAAACTACCTCTATCACCATGAAAAGGCAAAACTACAGGCAGACAAAGATCACAAAGACAACACCTGAGAAGAAGACAGACCAAACCACTCCTCCTGAAAAAGAATTCAAAATAAAAATCATGAACATGCTGAAAGAGATGCAGAGAAAAATGCAAGAGCAATGCGATGAGATGCAGACAAAAATACAAGAGCAATGGGATGAAGTCCGGAGGGAGATCACAGATGTCAGGAAGGAGACGACAGAAGTGAAGCAAACCCTGGAAGGATTTATAAGCAGAATGGATAAGATGCAAGAGGCCATT